ATATACATACATTTATATATTCATACGTACATATATATACACATATATATATACATATATATATATATATATATATATATATATATATATATATATATATATATATATATATATATATATATATATTCTCCGAAGACTTGTGCTTATAATTAATATAAATATTAAGTACTACAAAAAAGAGTTTCTAGAAATTTCCTAAATTAAATGCGGGTAACAAATGTAGAAAAAAGATTTTCTAAAATAAAAACATTTCAAAAATATATATATTACAGCATATTCAACCATCAAGGATTATGTCTTCAACATTTGCGAAAACGGGGTTTGATTAGAACGGAAATAATTTAAATCTTATTCTTAATGTATTCATGAAGCCGTTTTCGAGTCGCTTAAAACATGTGTATAGATATACATGGAAAGAGAGAAAGAATAGTGTTTCATTTCACGCTTGAAACATCAAAAAGGAGACATAAAATATTTGGTTATATAAGAAATCATTGCTCCTTTCAGGTGTTGACTAAGTATTTTACTTATGTTGCTAGACATTTTGCTAGACATGTTGCTAGACATTTTGTGGATGCAAAATTTTTCTCTTTAAAATCAATAACAATGGAGGAAGTAATCCTATGTTAAAACGAACACAGTTTAACAAGGTTTAATGCAGTGTTTTTCTTTCTGCGCAGATGTATAATCAGTGACGTCTGGCATTGTTAATTGCTGTACCTAATTGATAATGATAGATAGATAGATAGATAGATAGATAGATAGATATGAAAAGAATGAGATAGATAGATAGATAGATAGATAGATAGATAGATAGATAGATAGATAGATATGTATGAAAAGAATGAAATAGATAGATAGATAGATATGAAAAGAATGAAAAAGATAGATAGATAGATAGAAAGATAGATAGATAGATAGATAGATAGATAGATAGATAGATAGATAAGATATGTATGAAAAGAATGAAATAGATAGATAGATAGATATGAAAAGAAAGAAATAGATAGATAGATAGATAGATAGATAGATAGATATGCATGAAAAGAATGAGATAGATAGATAGATAGATAGATAGATAGATAGATAGATAGATGTGAACATACTAAAATTCATAGATAGATAAATTTAAAATAGGCCCGGGTAACGAGATAGCAATTAGTTTCAGCAAATAAGATCAGGTTAAACAATTTCTCTCTCTCTCTCTCTCTCTCTCTCTCTATATATATATATATATATATATATATATATATATATATATATATATATTTGTGTATTTAGGCAGCAATCCTTCTTTCATGAATATTTCATCGAATAAGACAGACATGGTGCATTTATTTAGTTTTTTATACAATTTCTCATGCGATCTAATATTTTTTTTCTTTTCGGATGATAAATTATATAAAAACTGTCCGAATGTTCTTTTTATCCGAGCGCTTTTGGCTGTACATTTAGCCATTTTCAAAAATTAAATATCTTAACTGATAAATAAGAAATAGTTTGTTGCATGTATGTTTTATAAAATGTTTTTAATTTTTCAAAACACGGTCAAGATATTATGTCCATGTTCAAAGTTAATATTATTAAGTGTTGGTCCCTAAACTAAACATCAACTGCAAGAAGACAGAATGCATGCTTATTAGCAAAAAGAAGTGTCCAATATGAAAAGTATAAATTGGAGGTACCAAAATCATGCAACAGTAAAAGAATTTAAATATCTTCGAAGTGCTTTAACAGAGAATGGAAAATACGAAACGAAAGACCGTAGGAGCACTGGTATAGCGAAAGATACCTTCGAAAATATAAGTAATATATTAAGAAACAAAACAAATACCTGAGAAACAAAGAAAACACTGCAGTGGCGAAGGGTGACTTGGCTCCAAGGCATACAGTCGGGAATATTTTGTCATATACAGCCTACCGTAATATTTCATCACTTAATGTCTCTACAAGTTACTTGCTACTTCAACGGCTGCGTAAGAAGATGAAACACCCTCGCATAAAAAGTTGTTTTAAATGCTTTTTTTTAATAAAAAAAAAAAAAAGAAGTAAGCAATTTTGGTTTAAAATTGCTCACAATTCATCAAATTAATAATTTCTGTAAATTGAGGTTTACGTCACAATTTCGAATTTTAACTTTTCCAATTATCAATAAATACTATTTTGTGACAGCTGTAGACAAGCGTTAACAAATTTATTTAAACATTGTTGTTTTTTAATTTAATTAAATGTATCCTGGTCTCGTTAAAACAGAAACTGTTAATTTGAAGAATTATGTACAAGATTTTTTAAAAATTCCTTCTTTTTTTTCTGTCCTCACACCGCCACTTTTTGGTGTTATTCCTAGGTCGGCTGCCACTCAACTAGGTTTTAGAGGGTATCGATATATATATATATATATATATATATATATATATATATATATATATATATATATTATTATTATTTTAAAAAAATTATAACATAAGTATGTTATAAAATCACTACAAAATAGCCATTTTGTTTCAAACTTTTGGTGTCTCATCAATGATGATGTTAAATGTAAAATAAATGGTTTTAAAAGTTTCAAATTAATTAACGATCTTTCGCAAGGGGGAAACATTGTTACAAAAGCTAGAATGACCAATCAAAATCCAAGTATAGGAAGATTCAAAAGCTTGACAACGAAATCATGTTTGACAACGAAATCATGTTATATATATATATATATATATATATATGCAAGTTTCGTTGAAAACGACTGGAAGGTAAAGTGGTTGTGGTTTTTTTTTTAGGATTTTATTTATATGTTCCTTTTTGTTTTTCTTTTCAGGGTATAATTTTCGGCTAAACTTTTAGCCATTATCAAAGGTGAATTTTATTTTAAATTTAACTGAATGTACAGATTGTTTTATGTATGTGTCTAGAGTTATAGGAATTTTTTTTTTTTTCCAACACACGGTTAGCACATTGATTGCTATTGTTGATATTATTGAGGATATCATCCAAATGCACAAAAAGGCTAAAAAAAAAATGAGAGGATATTATGAGATAGTAATATATCAATTTTTATACAACAATATAATTATATAATATAAAAATGTATGACAAAATAGAAAAAGTTTTCTTGTCACCCGTTTCGTCCTTAAGACTTTATCGGACTAAATTTGTTATGTTTGTGCCATTGTATGATTTAATTTCGCGCATTCGGGTTATTTTTTTTTCTTTTACCAACTGCGCGGTATAGTACGGACAGTTGGGTAGCATCTGTGAGAAAAAGCACCATGATGCAATTCCCTCCTCCAGAAATTTGGAAATGGCATGCTCTACTGTTTGGCATTCGAGCCGAAAGTTTTAATACGAACAGTTCAAAGTGTTTGGATTTCAATCTGAGGTGATTGCAGAAGGTTCAGGAAGAGTTGGATGAGTCTAATGGTGATTACGAAGGTATGGAAGGTCGGAAAACTCACTCTGATCGTTCTGATAAGAAACGAACTCCCGAATTTGTTGGCGAGGGCCTCAGATTGAACACGTAGGCCTACATGAAGTGCCTTGAGGAGGTATTACTGCCCTAGATCAAGAGGGTGGCTACTTGAAAAACCTATGTATGGCTACAGGACTCTGCACCATGCCACACAAGCAGGAGAACGCAGTAATCGCTATCAAACAATTTCTGAGACCACATTACCCTTTACATCTGATCACCTAACTCCCCAGACTGCAACCCTTTATTATGGTTGGGCGTTGTTGGGTGAAAGGCCACCAATTCTCCTTGTAACACCAAAAATGAACTGGAGTCAAGGATTATGACAGCATTCACCAACTTAAACAAGGAGACCGTCCAGAAGAATTGCAGGTGATTCCGAATTTTGTCTGGAGGCCGTGGTTGAAGCCAATGACGATTTTATTGACTAAATTTATCTTTAGTATTTCAAGATATTTCTGTGTAATTTTGGTAAATATATATGTTAAAATAGGATGTCAGTGTTCTTTTCATTTTGGTGTCATTTAGACGACAATTTATCCATCGCAAACTGTATATCTGTTAACATTGGATGAGTCTAATGGTGATTACGAAGGTACAGCAGCTCGGAAAACTCATTCTGATCATCCTGATAGGAAAAGAACTCCTGACTTTGTTGGTGAGGTCTTCCGACTCAACGTGGAGGCCCACATCAAGTACCTTGAGGAGGTAGTGCTGCCCTGGGACAGGATTCTGCACCATGCCACACATGCAGGAGAAACCAGTCATGACTGCCAAACAATTTCTGCGACCATATCACCTCGCATACTGTATATATATATATATATATATATATATATATATATATATATATATATATATAGATAGATAGATAGATAGATATATAGATAGATAGATAGATAGATATTTGTAAAGGTTTCCAGCGAAAGACATGTTTCAAAAAACATCTAGTCAGTCTTTTGTTGTCCTAATAATATATATATATATATATATATATATATATATATATATATATATATATATATATATATATATATGAATGATATGTAATGTCTCTTATAAATGTTATCGTTGACAATAAAGTTTCCATTACACATTTTATCAGATTGTAAATTTCTCGCGCTTTTTTCTCTGGTTGAGGTTCATATAGATCGCCCAAAAAAAAAGCATTTTTAACATAATTATGTGTAAATATCGTGTAGAAAATTGATATCCTCTCTTTCAGGACACCTCGAGCTCGGGGCATTGTTTCGAAGAAATGGAACTATCTTTTTTAAAAATTTCTCTGGACAATTGTACCATCTTCTGAAAAACTAAGACCTTTCTTCTTTTTTTTCTAAATTCTAAACTTGACGAAGGCTCGAGAAAAAATCGAGCGTAACGACGTGTAAATTTCAAGAGGCCTCAAGTTCAGTTCCGTTAACAAACTTTGTAGTGACTTTCAATTAAGTAAGAATAAAGAACGAATTTTTTTTTTTTTCAAACTTTATTCTTTATCACGAATGCAGCTTTTAACAGAGGGTGGATGCATTTTAAATTAAAGCTTGTAGATAGATAGATAGATAGATAGATAGATAGATAGATAGATAGATAGATAGATAGGAACATACTGAGATAGATAGATAGATAGATAGAAAGATAGATAGATAGATAGATAGATAGATAGATAGATAGGAATATACTGAGATAGATAGATAGATAGATAGATAGGAACATACTGAGATAGATAGATAGATAGATAGATAGAAACATACTGAGATAGATAGATAGATAGATAGATAGATAGATAGATAGATATTGAACTCCGATCTAAACAAAATCAGATAAACATTATCAAGGCTTTTTATTAAATTCGACAAGTACAAGACTGAATAGTTACGAAACTTTCTCTCCTAGTCTCTCATTAAAGAAGATCGCTCGTTTGATCAACGTTTCGATCAAGTTTATTTTTCATTCAATTTAAGCCGAAATGAGTAACACGGATTTCGAAGGCGTTCTTAATTGTAATTCATTAAATCTTTATCCAATTAGCAAATCAATTAAGTTGCCCTGTCAAACTCAGCAAGCACTTTAGAAACATTGAAGCTGAGCTCATCGAGACCTACCGGGTTCAACAAGAAGACGTAAAGATTCACATCGTTTGTGCTTTGTAAAAAGGACAGAATGATGAGTTTTTGAGGCACTCAGGTTTTTTTTTGGGGGGGGGCTTGATTTTTGTTTTGTTCTTTGTTGGTTTTTTTTTTGTTTTTTGTTATTGTTTTTATGCAATGAGAAAATTTTTAGCTCGGAGGTTTTATTTTATTGATCTGTATCTTTTTATTGTATCATATTTCCTTTTTTTTTACATGCTTTAGTGAAAATAAATTGTCATGAACGCATCTAAAAATTACTTATAGCCCTACTTTTTTAATTAGTTATATAGATAGATAGATAGATAGATGTGAACAGACCGAGATGATAGTTTTGTGATGTCAACGAACACTCGTTGACACTTTTGAAATGTCAACGAATACTCGTTGTCACATTCGTAATTCTCGTTGTAGTAGAGACTTTATAATCGTTTTCCACTGCCTTAACCGGGTATTGAACTCACACTCTTTGGGTCCTGTCACTAGATTTAACTAACGCCTTTATCCACCGTGGATACAAAGTGTTGATTTATTATACAATGAATGTTCGTCGTTGTATGATTTGTATTTGTGTAAGTATGTATGTATGTGTGGGATGTAGATCGTCACAATACCCCCCACCCCCGAGATTAAAGAAATTATAACAAAATTCGTTAATATATCACGTCAGGGTCACCAATAAAATGTGGCGGACTTCACCACATTAATTTAACTTAAATTAGGAAACCAAACTGACGTGAAGAAAAAAGGATAAGCCAAAAACATCATTACACATAAAATATGTATTTAACAAGATGTACAAACAAGGATGTGGAAGAAGGATGGCATTGAGTAAAACAAGAGTTGTCTCCCTTTAACTATCAATTGTTCCAAAGTTCACTGAAAGAAATTAGGTTGTAATAGTTTCTGGTAATAAATGTTTTCAACAGTTCTTGCTGCATAAGAAATAATTTTATAACTTGAAAAAGTTCAATCGACATGCTTCCTCCAAACGGTACTTGGTACAAAAGAAAGAGTGATTAGAACTAGCTTGTAATACAAGAGTTTAGTAATGTCTACGTCTTAATAAAAAAGAATCCGCAACAACCAAGTGACTTCAATCGGAAGAAGATGGCTTATGTTCACCTTCTGTTTTCACTACAATAAACGCAGACAGACTAATAAGTCCGAATCTCTTAAAATATTTTACGCTTTTTATATAGTAAAATACCAATAAAAAACTCTTTTACATATTCCTCATTATTAGTTCTCATAAAATCACAAATAGACATAGTGTGGCAGACTTCATTGCATTAATTTAACTTAGATTAGGAAACCAAACTGACGTGAAGAAAAAAGGATAAGCCAAAAACATCATTACACATAAAATATATATTTAACAAGATGTACAAACAAAGATGTGAAAGAAAACCATGCATTGAGTAAAACAAGAGTTGTCTCTCTTTAACTATTATTTGTATTCCAAAGTTCACTAAAAGAAAGAGATTTTGTGATAACATTATAACTGAAGTTATAATTGTGAGCGAGCAGAGTTTCGTAATTGATACATGCGCAAAAGACATTCATATCGAAGCCATGTAGTCGTTTTAGGCCGACTGCCATGCAGACAATACAGACGTTCACGTCGAAATACTCGAAGTATTACGACGGATTATCGTCGAAACAAAACATCGTTATAGTAGTGACGACAAGAGTTTTGAAAGTCAGACAACTGGTAAACATTGTGTTGAGGATTCAGAAACACAGTCGGAGTAAACAATTACGAAATATACTTGTTACAAGTATTAAATATATTTGTTGCTTCGGGTGACGACAAAATTTTTAAGCACTTTGGTTTAAAATAACATGTCCTGTGTGTAGAAAAAAAGTCTTGCGAATATGGAGAAAGTTTTGACCTCCATGGTTGAAATTCAACAACGGCACCAAAAACTGTTGCTACTATACAAAAACAGCAACTAGAGTTGCTGAATATAGTTTTGAAGAAAACAGAAAAATGCATCAATGCTTCTTACGCCGGACTGATTCTTGCTGCGTGTTTTCTCAGACATGAAGAAATATTTAGTCAGGAATGCAGAATCTTGGAAGAAGATAAAAAACCAGGCTGTTGTTAAGAAAAACAGCTCCAACAGATGCGAAAATACTGTAATTATATTTTACCAAGAAAATCAGGTAAAATAGGGTTTAAATACAAAATATAAATTCTGACGATAATTTTTGTGACAAGTGCTCTCTGTTCTATGCTAGTTGGAGGTGGATGAATTTAACTATCAAAGAGGATGACGATTTTGTCACGTATGGAGGTACCGCTAACTGAGAATGGGAACAATTTAAATGACTGCGAAAAAACTAAAGGAAAATTTTAAAAATATTTTCCTAATGTTCTGTCTAATGAACTGGATCGGTGTTCAAAATTCAGGCGAATTTTCAGGTAAAAAAAAGGTTTGACGCCAGTATTCAAACCGAAACGGATCGTACCATTCACAACATTAGAACAAGTAAATGAAGAATTTGACAGACTAGAAAGAATCGGTATATTGCAGAAAATAAAACCATTCGAAATGGGTTGCATCAGCGGTGGACATAAAAAAAAAATGACATTTCTGTTTGCGTGGATTTCTCGACTGGATTAAATAGTTGTCTTGAAAAGGAAATTTTAACTTCTATAGTTGAAATTCAACAACAACACTAGAAACAACAACAAAATATCCAACAGTTACTATAGATGCAAAAAATCCAACAAGAGTTTTTGGAAGTGGTTTTGAAGAATAATGCTTCAACGTCTTTACGCCAGACACGGTGGAAACTTTTGCTGTGCATTTTGCAGACATGAAGAAATATTCAGTCGGGAATGCAGTGGTTGGCGGGACGATAAAAAAATGGTTGTTATTAAGAAAAATAACTTCAAACAGAGTAAGAGAATACCACAATTATATTTTTAACGAGAAAAACTAAGCGAAATAGGGTTTTTAGACACAGTATAAATTCTGACGAAAAATTTTTAATGACAAGTGCTCAGTGTTCCATGCTCGTTGAGCTGCATGAATTTAACCAAAAAAGAAGATTTTGTCACGTATGGAGGTATCACCAACATAGAATGTGTACAATTTTAAACTAAAGAAAGAAACTCCAGATATGTTCAGGGATTAATTTTCATTGCAAGTTCTAACAGTGGGAAAAAGATTCTGAATTACAAACGAAAATATTAGCATAGATTGAGCATAATAATAATGTGAACCGCGGGAAATACTGGACGATTGCGAAACAATGTTAAGTCTGAAGCATGATGCTGAAAAACTTCAGAATAAAGAATGTGCATTGGTAAAAGCTAAGCAAAAATGCGCAAAAGAGGAATATAAAACTTTGTTTCAGATATGGAAAAATGTATCTTGTATCTTGTCCATGGAAAAATGCAGAATTCTATAACTGTGGTAAAAAAAAAGGATATATTAAATTACACTGCAGAAATAAGCCAAGAAAATATTTTCGTAGGAAGTAATATATATTATAGCAAACAAAAAATAGTCACACGAAACAAAAGAAAATTTGTTATCGTGCTAATCAATAATGTGAGAGTAAAAACGTTACTAGATACTGGTATTGACATTTCAATAGTAAATGAAACCATATGGAAAGAAATTAGAAAAAAAAACTTTATTAAAAAGAATTTACAAAGTCGCAACTTCGGTTTGTGGCGATAAATTATTTTTGTGGGAAGAATTAACATGTGATGTTTATATTCGAAATAAATGTTGATGTTCTAAGAAAAGGGCAAATCTATTCGGTACGGACTGATGGAACTATTTGAAAAGTGGATTTGATAAACGCTCATTGTAAAAAAAATGTAAGTAGACAAGCGACAAATTTAAAATAGTCAAAGGAAGAATTAAAAATATGTTTTCCTGATGTTCTGTCAAATGAACTGAGTCAAAGTTCAAAATTCAAGGCGAATTTTCAGGTAAAAAAGGTTCGACGCCAGTATTTAAACCGAAACGGGGCGTACCATTCGCAGTATTATAACAAGTAAATGAAGAATTTGACAGACTAGAAAGAAAGGGTATATTGCAGTAAATATTGCAGTAAATAAACCATTCGAAATGGGTTGCATCAGCGGTGGAGATACTGCTGAGAACAAACAGGCAAGTACTGTGCCCGAACCCGATTTTGTGGGTGCTGGTTAAATTTTGACCAGTGGCCCAGGTGGAAAAGCTCGGGTTTCCAACATAAAACTTGTGTTGTATCTAGTCCGCCGTTGGGGCGATAGGTAAATACCAGTGGGGTCGGTGTTTGTCCCAGGTCCGCAATAAGACTAGACCTCTTGTCTTCGGAGAGAGGGTGACTGTCTTCGGATAGAGACACGGCTGAGAAAAAAGAACCAGACGAGTAACATAACTGAGCACGCTTATGCGGCGGCGGGGCTAGCTAAATTTTGACCAATGGCCCCGGTGGTCAAAACGTCTTGGTTCCCTTAATAATCCGACCTTGTGTCACAACTCATCTCAGTGGGCTGAGTAAATACCAGTCGTTTGCAGCCAGTCTTCAGACTAACTATGAGGACGTTACGGCAGTAACCAAAGTATTACTAATAGAGAATTCTTAACGAATTGGGTTATACCAAGTACGAGTGTCTGTTATAACAAAACCTTACAATAGGAAATATATATATATATATATATATATATATATATATATTAATCATGTTTCATTAAATAATATAGACAAGTTTCGTCTATTTATTTTAAATAAGTTCCTTTTCATATTGTCTGATGTTTAATATTATCACTCCAAAGACGAAAGAAAATCTGCAATATTGATACATGTTTAAATCCAATCTAAGTTTTTCGGCTTACATAAGCCATTATCAAAGATGACAATTACTTTTTCAATATAACAATCAATACACGGACGAAAACAATAGTTAATATTTCTCGTTTTACTCTCGCGTGGCCATGTGTGACGTCACGAGCTGCGACGCGATTTTCGCTTCCGCGTCTCGTATACACGTTTTAGTCGTTGCTTTGAAATTTTTCATGCAACAAAAACAGACTATCAACCCATGCTTAAATCACAGCATTTCGGAAACTTTGACGTGGTGTAATGGTTAGCAAACTTTCTTTGCTAGATAGAGCCGAAGAAGTGAGTTCGAACCTCAATGGATGCTTCATACTTTCGTCCTTGTTCCAAATCTAAGCTATGCTCTGTAAATTGTTATTATTGCAATCTATTTACATTAACTAAAAGTAGATATTGCGATTCGCTACGATAATGGAGGGTTAACATTTACCGGGTGTCTTTTTAGGTGCCAAACTGTAAATGATATACACGCTGATAAACATTATAAACTATTTTAAATATAGTGTATTCTACTTAAATGTTTTCTTCGAAGAAATAATCTATAATTGTTTAAAAAAAAACATTTTATAGAATTAAATATTTTCATGGGAACAGGATAATTTTAATATTTTTGGCGACAGACTTTAAATGCTGCAGAATTTAGTCATAAACAATTCATGACTCATTGCCAATTTGTAATGTTACACTAGAACAGCTGTGAATATTGGCCATATCGATGATCTTTTGTCTCTTTTGTGTTTTTACCTGTATCACTATATCTACCTATGACAATTTGTTCATCTAGATCTATCTCTTTCGTCATGTGACGTGAAAAGAAAGAAAGAAATATCAATGAGCACGACAGAAAGAAGTGATTGAAAGAAAGAAAAGAAGAAAAAATCAATGAGAATTATAGAAAGAAAGAATATGTGAAAAAAAGAAAGAAAGATAATCACAGAAATAAAAAAGTATACGAAAACAATGAAAGGAAGAAAGAAGAAATAAACGGTATGTATTCTCCTGAGAATAATAGAAAAAGAAAGAAATATTAAAATAAAAAAAAAAGAAAGAATCATTAAAATAATAGGAAGAAAAGATAAGTGAAAAGCAACAGAAATCGAAAAAGGAAGATCTCGTTTGACGATTAGAAATTTTCAGAATGAGTCACTGAAAGGAAACTTTAAATGTCGAAGCAAAACGCAAGAAAAGAAAAATCGTTCGCCATTCTTTGTTGTCATTCATCTCTTCGTCTGTATGTCATCCATTCTCTTATGCTGGACGGACATTCATTTTTCTTTCAGTTTTGTTTTTTTTTTTTTCACATAATTTTATTATCTAAGCAAATTGAATCCATCGAAATAAAACGAGAAAAAGAATGAAATAAAATGTTGCAGCAACCATATTAAAATCTCAGCGACTTACATTTTTGCCGGAAGTGACGACAACAGGAGACGATCGTATTGTAAACAAGCAAAAGATGTCTTTCTTGTAAAGATATTAGCATATTCAGAAGGAGCAGCATAACAGGTAATAAAAATGCCTAGACTGTTTCTTTGATACTAACATGATATACAATGCGTGAAGAGGAGAAAAATATTCTCTTAAAACAAAAGTGGAGCTGCAAAATGGAGCCCAAAGTTGAGATAAAAGCATTATTGAAGTCAACAGACAAAACCTAAAAATGTGCTCCATTTCCAAGAAAATTGCTGTCATTGATAGTAAAATAATGATGATAATACTAAAATTTTAAACTATCTGACCGAATATCGGCTTTTTTTTTCAGTTTTGGGTCAAATAGAAAATTTAAAGGACATAAAATTATTTACATTGTTCGAACTATCGTCCTCATCTTGCTGCCATATTCCACAACATTTCGGTCGTTGCACGCTCCGACCCTTCTTCTCAAGGACACATGGCACAGTGGATAAAGGTGATAGTTAGATCTAGTGACAGCATCCAAAGAGTATGTGTTAATTCCACATTAAGGCAGTGGAGAACTTGAGAGGGGAATTAAGATAACTGATAATTGACATCCATTAGATGACACGTGGAACTAGAACAGTCTAACCTAACGAGCGAAATAAAGGGTTCATTCGACATTCCAAACAACTTTACTGGTGCCGGAGTTAACACTTTAAACGTTGTGATAAATATGACAACAAAGATGAGGACGATAGACCGAGTAATTTTAATAGTGTACATAATACCTCATCTTGGAAAAAGACAGATACTGGATACAAAATTATTAGTATCTTCTATTTTCATCTCCCTTCAGAATACGTACAAATATGGCTCTCCACAATTTGATGTCCTGCAAAAGAATTTACAGCAAGATATAGGTAGGTTATTGCTGATTTCCTCTGTCTTTCTTGCCTTCAAACATGTCCGTGAGTATCATATATTCCAAGCCTTCTTTTTTCATTACGTGTCCAGAAATTTGAAAAATGTCTATTTCTTTAGTGTTTCAATTTATCTAAAACATCGTGTTTCTTTACATTTTCAGTTCATGATATTCTCAGAATCCTTCTGTAGAACCCCATTTCTGTTGCCTCAAGGCCCTTTCTTCATCTGTGAAGAGGTTTGTCCACCATGCACTGCCATATGGGAAGACTGATACCAGGTGGCAAATATCTAAGTGGTTTCTTCCTAAAAAATGTTCTGAATTATTCCTGATATCCTTTTTTTATATAATTAAAATTTTTTAAAGGAAGTTTAAATAGGTCTTTTGTCATATTTTTATCAAAGGTTTTTGTATAATAATCTATAAAAAATATAAGATGTAGGAATTTTTGCATTTGTATTATTCGCTTTTGATAGCATTTTCATTACAAATATACCATTTTATGTTCTGGTGGACCTTTTCTATTTCCAACTTTAATTCTGATATGAGTTCTGTTTATCAAAATTGGGTGATAAGGTTATTTATATGGCTCCTAGGCTTAATGTCCAGGAGAGCTTACATTCATTTACACTTAACTACTTAGCCAATAGTCTATGGTTTCTGGTATTTCTCCACTGTCGTATGTTTCATTTATTGTTTCCGTAAAATCTGGTCAATCCCTAAATTGTTTAAGAATCTCCATTATATTCAGTCAGTGCCATGCGTGATACACGTTTAAGCGATCATGTATCTTCCACACATGACAGACTTGGCAGATTTTTTCCGCAGTTTTTACTTGTAAAACCATTTGTAGTACAGCACCATTATTTTTATGATATAAAATATAAGTTTACACGCACTAATATATAAAATACATGATATCCACATAATATACATAGACGTGAAATATATATATATATATATATATATATATATATATATAGGTGATATGTGTATTTTATATATATAGGTGATATGTGTATTTATATATATATATATATATATATATATATATATATATATAGACAGTTTATGCAAACTAGGTAATCCGCAAATGTAGACCCAAGGAGGATGATATCCGGAGAGCTCAATGTAAAATTTACTGCTGATATGTTTGAATAAAAAGACCACTTTAAGGTTCCATGTAATAAGTTATTTCACCATAACCCCTTTAACAGGGTTCTGGATCATCAGACTTTTACTTCCAAAAGCTGAAATGAAAAATGAAAAGAAATTCACACGTTTTTGACGGACCGCATCAAGTATATGTAAAAATTAACAAAGTGAGGAAGTGAGCATGAGAGAGAAGATAAGATATGCGGTGGGCTAGAATAACCATTTCAATTCATGAGAGAGAGTGCATTGAAAAAGATAATCCATTTCATATTTAGTAATCTGAAAGAATTTTTAAACTTGTATCTTATTGATTGTTAAGTTGACATCTATTCGTTTGATTTTTTGTTCATTAATTAAATAAACTCGAGTTGATTATTCAGTTGACATCTATTCGTTTCAGTTTTGTTCATCGATTAAACTCGTAACTTTTTAATATACCTACATAATTATCAAAGGTTCTTTCAATTTAAATAACTTTATCGTCAATACTAATTGTTAAAGCCTTTGTATATTTCAATTTAAAATTAAATTACTAATTTAAACTTTACCTCCGTTTATTTGAAACTCACTTTCAATTGTTTAGAATATTAGATGAGAAATTTGGATAAAAGAATTTCGGAGAAAATTAGGTCCTTTTTTACAATCTTTTTATATCATACTCATATACACTTCTACATGTTTATATCCACATACCTATATCTCAAAATATACCTATGTTCTTATATTTTTTTGTTTATATCCATTAATGAAAACTATACGTATATTCCCACATTAAACACATATACACCTGCAGAGAAAACACACATACCCACATATCTACATATATATATACAGATACACTTATACTTACATATATACATATATACACACATAAAATCACCTGCATATCCACATATATACATCCATTTACATACGCACATATACATTTACACTAATATATTTATACACATACCTGTACATATATGTATATATACATACATATATACATAGTACATATACACACATACATATATAAAAAAATATGTGTACATAATTGGACAGGGAACATATGTACATATTATATGTTTTTATTGGAAAGAGACAATAAAAGTTTTTTTTATGCATGTATGTGTGTATGTGTGTATGTATGTGATATGTATGTATCTATATGTGGAAAATTTAAAATAAAGTTTTGGGGGGTAGGCTGAGTGAGTGGAAAGGTGTAACAATTAGATGGGTACCTATATGTTTTGCCATTGATATGAAAAGCGGGTAGTATATGTAGAGATATGTATAATTATACGATTTGGGTATCTATAATGAAAATTAAATATTGATATAGTCTTCGAATGCATATAAGTGGGTGTATGGGTGGACATGAGATAATGACATGTTCGTGTGTGTATATGTGTAAATGCATATCTAGTTAATATTTCCTAAAGTTGGGATATATTCCATTTTTTTTGTTCTAGATTGGCTGGAAAGTCCCCACCATTTTAAAAATTGATCCATTTTAATTTAACCTTAAGTTCTATGCTCCCATTTCCTTCGTTCGCATTTAACTTTTGTTACTGTTTTCCTGTTCTTCTCCCCAGTCAACTTTGATCTTCAATAATTATAAATGCAATTTAATTGTTATAATCTGTCTTTTAATTCATATTTATTTTTATTGTTTTCTTCTTCCTAGTGTTTTTTTTCACATTCTCTAACACTCAGTACCTAATTAAATCTTCGTGGCTTTATTGCTCGGTTTTGGGGTGAATCTAAAAAACACGACTTCGGGATCTTCTGCTTAAATAAAGCTGGTAATAATAATAATAATAATAATAATAATAAAATAAACTCTTCCACACACGAAGAGACACTTGGTCACCAAAACCGGATTATTGCCAACCTTGGACCAAGTGACTCTATGCTAAAATCGACTAATAAAAAAGTAAACGAACGAAATGGAGCCGCGAAGAGTATCGACAAGTCATGACATCCTTCTTCACTGCACTCGAAAACCCAGCAAAGAACACCACCAATCAAACATACCAAATATGGAGAAGTACGGTGGGAAATGATATAACACCTAACCTCAATCTAAACATGCTTGCCAATGTCCGTAGGGACATCATGCGAAACAACAGACTCTCAAAGGCAGAAATAGATAAGATAAAATTAGATATAAGACAAAATACTATGACCCATCACTCAAACTCTATTGAGACGAATGTAGAAATAAGGAATGCAACAGAGTATGGTGTGGATGCTGGAGAGAATGAAATACGAAATAATCTCCCAGGAAATGAAACCCAAGACTCTACCTTAAACACAACCTACAGTATTCCAGAAACTGCACCTGGAGTCATCTTCAGTGAGAATAAGTTAGAATTCCTTGAAAACCACGAAGCTGAAATCACCGAAGGAAAATGACGTCATCCAAGTACTCAGCAGAGTAACATTAACACAATTGTCAGACAGAGACCAGCTCCCGAAAAAATCCATATGACGAACTCCAACAGGCACATCGTGAAAATATACAATGCTGCTCCAAAACACTGTTAACAGATAAACCACCGGGAAACATCACAGAAGTTAACAACGTCATATACGCAT